TTTGCTGTTGAACATTAGGGTTGCACAGACAGCTATCAGTCAGCGTCAGAATTCCGGCCACCAAGAATGGATTTCAAGGGACTTTCTCTCATATACAGTTGTTCCTCGCTAGACAGTTACCCCGCATGACAGTTTTTTTCGCTAGACATTGGCTTTTTGCGATCGCTATAGCAATTTGCAAAACAGTGATTCCTATGGGGGAATTTCGCTGGACAATGCTTGGTCCCTGCTTGGCAAACCGATTTTCACTAGACGACGATTTTGACAGCTCCCTCCGTGCTCACAAAACAGGTGTTTTTGGGACCTAAGCTTTGCAAGACAGCGATTTAAACAGCTGATGGCGGTTCGCAAAGCGGCTTTCCTATGGCCGATCTTCGCTAGACAACGACGATTCTTCCCCTTTGAAACGGATTAAACAGGTTTCAATGCATTCCAATGGGGAAATGCTTTTCGCTAGACAATTTCGCTAAACAGCGATTTCAGTGGAACAGATTATCATCGTCTAGCAAGGCACCATTGTAAACAGCTGACATTTGTTCTAGCAGCAGCTTCTGTTTAAGCAAGTCCCGGAACGGTCCCTGCAGGAATCTTATCACAGAGTGGATGCAGTGTGTAATATCCATGCCGCCCTGTGACACATTGGACTTGTCTCTATGCTTTGACACAATAAAATTCCAGATCCGAGAGCAGATCAGCACACCGTTCCCCCCTGGACACCCATGCTCCCTGGGAGATGCCAGGTAGATGGCAGCCGCGCCAGCTGTTCTTCTTCCCGAGCCTTGCAGATGTTTCCCTGTTGCTAGAGGATGCCACGCCGTGTACTGTGGGACTGTCCTGGAACGGCCCAAGCCGGTTTGCTGCCTGCTGTGCTGTACGTTGTCGGTGCGAAGGGAGGGAGGACGGAACATGACTGCAGGGAGCCTCTTTCTGTTCAGCAAAGATGGGAGGGAGTTGCATAAGCTCCTTGACTGCTTGTTCCAGGAGGAAAGGGAGGAGGAAAGGGTGGAGACAGTGGCCTTCTTCCCGGTTGCCTTTTTCATCTTTGAAGGACTGTGAACAGAGCTGTGCCGTGGCTCGCCTGTTGTACATCCGAGCAGAAGTGGATTCATTCTTTGTTGCTGCCAAGCGGCTCTCCTGGAGCTTGCAAAGCTTGATTTTCCATTTGTTTTAAACGGCAACCCACCCCACCCCCAGAATCCCCCAACAGGAAAATGCCACGGGTTGCATCAGCCATGCAGGTTGGAAATCTCTCGAGATCTATAGTCCCGAGGAATCCTACATTTTAAAAGGACGTTTTAAAAGGAAGAAGGATCCAGATGACGTTTTCTAGTTCTGCCTTTTCTCCCAACGGTGTCTCCTTTGGTTTGGCATTAAAAATGTTCTCGAGGTGAGAAAAGTAGGACAACGACGTCGTGTTTTCCACCGGCACTGTTAGAAGCTGTCTGAAAGCACCTTTTCCTGCTCAAAGATCTACCTAGGACAAAAAGCGAATGCGCCCATAAATTTCCCAAAAGTGCAGATCATTTCACAAACAGCAGTACTCCGACTTTGGGTGACCCTATGAATTTGAGACCTCCAAAAAGCCCAGTCGTTCATCCATCCCGCTCAGATCTTAGGAACTCAATGCTGTGGTTTCCTTTATTGAGTCAATCGATCTCAGATCCAGACTCCCTCCTTTCCCGCTCCCTTTTGCCTTTCCCGTATGATTTGTCTTTTCAATTCCATCTTGTTTCCTCACGGTAGGCCCAAAGTACAATAGCTTCAGTTTAGAAGCTGCTGTTTCGAAAGACAGAGTAACAAAAGGCTGTGGCTTGGAGTAGGCGTTTTATGGGCAGGCGGTTTCTGTGCTGAACTCGTGTCTGGACCTGATAATGGACTGGATGAGGGTTAATAAATTGAAACTCAATCCAGACAAGACGGAAATGCTGTTAGTGGGTGCTTCACCGGACAGGTTGGAGGGCCATTTCCCTGCCCTGAATGGGGTTACAGGGTCCACAGCCTGGGGGTGCTCCTGGACCCCAGTCTAACTTTGGAAGCCCAGGTGGACTCGGTGACCAGAGGCGCCTTCCTTCAGCTGCGGAAATTATACCAGCTATGGCCCTACCTGGACAAGCGGAGTCTCATGACAGTTACACACACGCACTGGTAACATCTCGTATTGATTATTGCAATGCGCTCTACGTGGGGCTGCCTTTGAAGACGGTCCGGCGACTGCAACTGGTCCAGAATCAAGCTCTGCGGCTGGTGAGTGGTGGGGCCGCTAGGGGACACATCAAGCCG